GTATTGTCCAGGATTAGACAAATGTATCACTGGGACAGATAGAGGGTCCAGAAGTGGATATGTAAGCCGGACTTCAGTAGATGGTAGAGGAAGGATTACAAACCAGTGAGAAAGGATGGGCCTTTTCATAAATGGTTTGGGGCTATTTGCTTTTCATATCCATAACATAGAAATAAAGTTAGGTCCCTACCTCATACCATACCCAGAATAAATTGCAGATGGGTTAAAGCCTTACACGTGAATGTTAAAACCTATGGTAGATTAAAGATGGCTGCGATTCTTTGCCATTCCTCCCATCCGAAGATGGAGTGCAGCTCCCTGCCCTTGGGCCAGTCCTCCACCCTCTTGGCCCACATAGGGAAGTTGTGCTGCGAGACTCTGAGGCTGGGTCATGGAAGCCTCGTCTCTTCTACCTCCTCTCTTGGTACAGGCTCTCAGCAGCCCTGATCCCCCTAGTAAACAGCCCAGCTGCCCTGCTGGAGAGAGCCCATGTGTGGAGGCCCTGGATGGAGCACGGGTGCCACGTGGAGAAGATGACTGCAAGGAGGATCCTTGAACACGAAACATGTGTGGAGTCCGTTTTGGATGTTCTGGCTCTGGAATCTCTTGTCTCCAGAGGCTTCCAGTCCCAGCTACATGAGAGGCCCCCATCCAGACCCAGTTACCCAGAGAATCATAGAAAGAACAAAGCTGTGTTGTTTCAAGCCGCTCCATTTTGTGGTGGTTTGTTAAGCAGCAATGGGTAACTGAGATGATACAACATATTGTTTATGGCTACCGTTGCGTGTTGAATTTATACCCCTTCCCCTCAGATATGTTGAAGACCTAACCTGCAGTGCTATGGTTTGAATGTATGTGACTTTTCAAAATTCATACGTTGGAACTTAAACCCCAAGGTGTTATAAGAGGGTGGGGCCTTTTGGGAAGTGATGAAGCTGTGAGGACTCTGCCCTTACCACTGAACCGATCCAGTGCTGTCATAAAAGAGGCTGATGGACTGTCCCGGTGCCTTTTGCCTGTCTATCCCCTCTGCCACGGAAGGACTCGGTGTTCATTAATTCCACCCCTTTTTGGTTTTGTTGTTGTTGTTGTTCTTCTTTTTTTTTTTTGGTCTTCTTCCACCCATTTTTGGCCTTCCGTCCCTTCTGCAATGTAAGGACACCTAGATGGTGCCACCTATGAAGAATGTGTCTTCACCAGACACGAATCTGCCAGCACCTTCATCTTGGATTTCCCAGCCTCCAGAAGTGTGAGAAATACATTTGTAAGATTTATGAATTACTCAGTCTCAGGTGTTTTGTTACAGCAGCCTGAATGGCCTAAGACACACAATATCTCACAATGTGACCTTATTTGGTAATAGAGTCATTGCAGATGTAATTAGTTAAGGTGAGGTCATCCTGAAGTAAGGTGAGCCCTTAATCAGATGTGACTAGTGTTCTTAGAAGAGAAAAACTTGGGCACAGAGAAGAGACACACAGAGGGGAGAAGTGACATGTACAGAGATCACATCCACAAGCCAGGTAGTGCCTGGGGCCACCAGAAGTTGGAAGGGACGAGGAAGGATCCTCCTCAGGTCCTCAGGAGGAGCAGGGCCCTGCGGACACCTTGATTTACACTTCTAGCCTCAGAACCGCAAGAGAATCACTTTCGGTGTGTACACCGCCTAGTTTGTTACTGCAGCCCCAGGAAACTAGCACAGCTCCATGTGTATGCAGAAAATTATCTTTAGAATGGACCTGAAAGGCACATACTCAAATCATGAAAGGGCATTACCTTTGGGGAAGGAGAACGTTCACCTGTGTTAGTTTTTGGAAGTCGGGGCACAGCCAGGGTCTGTTATATTCTTCTCTGTACTTAATATTTTTTCCAAAACAAAGGAACAAATCTCTAGGTGGGAGGATGGAAGAACTGAAGATGCGTGAGAACGTGGAGAGGTGCGGATCCCAGTAGGGAGAGAGTGACAGGGCCCCGCGGACTCCAGGTCAGAGGAAAGCGGAGCGCGTTGGGACTGGAGAGAGGCCACTGGACTCAGACACAGCAAGTCCTTAGTGGCCTTGGGTGGCCGCTTCTCTAGAGCGGCGGACGGGGAGGGAGACCTCAGGCGCGCAGAAGGTGGGTGCTGAGACAAGTCCGGCCCTGAAAGACACGAAGGGGAGAAAGGAGGTGGGTGCCCGGGGAGCCCCCACCGCACCCATCCTAGAGCGGAAGAGTCTTCTTAAAGAAAGAGACGAAAAGCGGCCTCCGACTGGAGTCCTTCTTAATATGTGATGAGCATGGGGCCCCGAGAAAAGGAAAACCGAGCTCCAAACCAGCTACGCCGGACCGTTGCTTTTTGGGGGGCCCAATCCCCGCGCTTGTGCACCGCCCTGCGCCTTGCGGCGCTCTCGGGGCACGATCTCGCCGGCTCCCCGGCCACCCGCGAGCAGGCAGGTTGCTGGGACCACTCCCTGCTGAAGACACACAGTTAGGGCTCGTCTCCTGCTCCCCTCTCCAGGCCCCGAGCCGTGCTCCTCGCACCCCGGGGCGCCGTTCTGCCGCAGCCGGTTGCGGGGTCAGCGTCTGGACACCTGGCGTCCAGTCGCCGAGTCCCCGAACCCTCCCCGTGTGCTGCAGCCGCCGCACCTGCCCAGCGCCACCTTTAACCCACCGCGACCGTGCGGCCGTGCTGTGCTCCTTGACGCCACGCCGATGCCTCCTGCGCTTCGTGGAAACCCTGAGCAGGGCGGGCGCCAACCCCTGCTCGGGCCCGGCCCTGTGACTTGCATGCGACAGGCTTTCAAGGCATTTTGGACAGACCTCACCTCCGTCGGGAGGAAGAGGCGGCGACGGCCCAACGCGCACCTGCACGGCAGCCCCGGTCGCGCCGGGGTCCGAGCACCTGCCGAGGGGCATGGGTCCCATGTCCCCCATAGGAAACCGAGAGGACACGGGGGCTTGAGCCGCTGAGGTCCCGCCGGGGGCCCAGAGCCACCGCCCTCGGGTTCTACCGCACTGTCCCCTGTAAAATAAATACTCAATTCCACACGCGGAATATTTTAAAGCCGTTTCAAAGTTCACTGTACTAAGAAAGGGAAGGCGGAGAGATTTCTCCAGCGGCCATTGCGACCGCCGAAGTCCCATGTCCCTCCGGAGTCTGCAACAGCAAAGGCGTCCGCCCCTCGGATAGAGGACAGCACAGAGGCTTCCTGCAAAAACAGAAACACTGCCAGAAAGCGCCCCGCGTCCCCGCGCCCCGTGTCCCCGCGTCCTCGTTCCCCTCGTCCCCACTCCCCGCGCCCCGCGCCCCGTGTCCCCGCGTCCTCG